ATTCGTTAAGAAAAATTGAAAAAAATGGCACATAATTAAGTATTTTATATGGAACTGATAAGTACTCATACATTTCCCTTGCTAAACTCTTGCAATCAAAATCGTTAGAGCGCTAATATATATTAGAGCACCCACCCATTACCAAACGGGTGCAAATGTACTCCTATTAGAGTAAAACACAAAACAACAAATATAAAATTTTGACTTCCGTAGTATGAACGTTCAATCCAAAATACGTGCATATATACCCATTATCAGGCACTTTAACACCCACATACCTTTCAACTTTACTGTATGTACTTTTGATGCATTTCCATTTCAATTACGATACCACATTGACCAAACCGCACTCAAGGTAGACAATTTGCAAATTAAATCCTCCCATTTTTCTTACATGTGTGTTCCAGCAGTAGGTTAATGCAGATGCTGTGTGTATTATCGCGTCTGAACAAAATAACATACGTAAATGAATGCATGTAGCAAAACGCAGAATCGCCTCTATTTACAAAGCAAAAGGATCTAGTCGAAAGGTATAACAACGAATGTCATGCACACACAATTATCCATTACGGAGCATCCCACATAAATTGCTCACTTACCAAAATATGCGCACAATGTTCGAACTTAAATGCTGCATTAATGCACCAACGAAGTAAAAAGCGAAATTCTATGAAATGGTTTGACCATTTGAGTTTTATTAATTGCGTATCTCTCACTCATTAATTAAAGTGTCATAAGTCTCTTAATGCCCGCAAAACAAAAACGGCAACAATTTTTCTGAAAAATCAATTAGTTGCAATTTTTCTCTATTGCATTAAATAAAAATCTTAATTTTATACGTTTGCCAATTTATTATTCTTTTTATAGTTTCCTCTTTTTTTGTTCTGTTTTTGATACTGCTTGCTAGCACTTTTGCAATTCTTAATTTGCACTGTATTTAACTCTCTATCCCAAATTGCTGAGACTAGTCTCGAGGCAAATAAGGCTAGAAGACAAACAATTCAGATCTGGCAACGCAAATGGTCAAGTTCAAACAAGGGAAGGTGAACCTTCTTACTCATCCCTGATGTAGAAATATGAATTAAGAGAGGACACGGTAAGGTAAGCCAGGCCATGGCTGTTTCAAGACCTACCTATACACCTGACCTGCTTGTCCTGAAATGGAAGACAACACAGAACACTTGAGAGTGGAATTAGCAGCGGAGTTAGGCGAACCAGTATCTACTGGAAACTTAATGTCCTTCATGCTTATTTCAGCCAACAACTGACAGATAGCGGATTCAATTATTTCATCTTTGATGAAATCATCTTTTTGATTATTTTGGTCAAGTTTAAATGCCTTATTGCTGGATTGATGTTCAGTACAATAGCTATTATGTTTGCCTGGGCATTCTAAGTATATTTTTAACGGTCAGTGAGTGTTATCATATTTGGTATATCTTATCAGTTTCAGATTTACCTACCCACTCATTTGTATTACTAAATTCAATTTGAATTATTTAACTGGACTTACATAGATTGAAGTAATTACAAAGTTCGATCGCATATATATCCACTTGCATAATAGTATTTTTTTTTTCGAGTATCTTCTAAAACGCCTAAGAATTCGGTCAGTGAACTGTCTGTGAGTGAGCTGTCTGTGTGCCATTTAGATGTCATGCTCCGGTTTATCTTGTAAGTTCCATACATACCTTTCTACTCATTGTTGCCACTTAATTATTTTTTCAGCTATGCAGTATAACAACTAAAAATTATTGCCTCTCAGTAAGGGAGAAGAGAGATTGCTGGCAGGTTAAGTAATGAATTATCTGATCAAATATTACTAGCTCAACATATGGGTTAATATCTGTCTTTGATATGGGAAAGAAAGAAAAAATTGGGGTTCATAATTAGAACCCTCTGCTCCTATATTCTATTCTATACTGAATCTCTTGCTTATTTGATTTAATTGAAAATATTGTACAAATATTTTTTAATATTTGTATTTATTTTTTATTTTTATGTTTCAATTAAAATGTACGAATTTAAATAATTATTTAAGGAAACGTCGTTCAAAGGAAATTTCAAACTTTTAACTGTCAACTGTAACAAATCAGCCTAAAGAATGAAATAAATAAATTAATAATAATAAAAATTGTCCTTTAAATTACTATTGGAATATGTCAATACAAAAACTATAAAAATTGGGAAAAAATCGCATCCGAACTCAATGCCAGTTACGTATTTAAATGAATTTTAAATGTCGCATACGACTGTTACGGTGAAAATTCCCTCTTCTGTGAATAATCTGTATCTCACACTTTTAAACTTAGCATTGCGGTTGCGGTTCCTATTCTGGCTGGATAATATTTTGAATTTCTTTAACCACATTGAAATTTTCTCCTAATATTTGTTTTTACATGAAACCACGAATGTCCAACGGTCTACACAAAAATTCTAATATAACGACACCATCCAATAGATTTATAGATAAATTACAGTAACACAAACATGTTATCACAAAAATACTTTAAATTTACTTATATATTCATCAAATTCGTAAACTACGAATAGTACAGAGTCAAAACTTTGGATTTATTTTGGATTTACAAATTTAATGAAAATATCTTTATCTAAAGAAAATTATACAACCTAAGAAATGAATACTTCTTGAATATAAGAATACAAGAAAAGGAATAAAAAAAAAAGAAAAATATTTAATGAGTCCTACATTAAGTACTTTTTGGTTGCAATATGAAAACTTATTTCTACATCAATGCAACATATTGTGCACCTGGGATGTGATGACGAAGTGGTCATGGCTTCTCCAACAATTCAATATACGAGTCACATGCGAGTTATATACGAGTTTTAAGTTTTTACCTTCGAATGTAGTGAAATGATAACAGTAACCGTATGTTTTATTATGAACATGTCCTCTCTCTCTCTCTCTCTCTCTCGCATTTATTTTCTCTAGCCATCTCTCTCTGTTTCGACCTCTTTTTCCCGTCTCCCTCCTTTCCTAGAGTATAGACTTTATACGAACCATAAAAACTTATTATTTATGAGAAATATAAATTGATGATAACTCATAATTACAATATGTACTAAACAATCCGTGTCTGTCATATTAACTAAACAAATCCTGTTATAGTTTACTGTGTGTGTTTTTTCAATTCTGAGCCATCGGCTAAGAGAGTTTAGTCTGGTTGCTACTAACTTATCTTGCTGTTTTACCAAAAGTCAATGAAGTAACAATTAATGAATTATCGGAAATAATGAATCGGAGCTCCAATAATTTGCTTTGAAACTGACTATCTTACTTTGTTGAGCAACCTTAAGTAGCTAGCCTTTTTGAATGATTGCCACCAAAAGACAGCACCGTATAAAAGAAAAGTTTGAATTATGCCTGTTTCGAGTGAGAGTACCTTTTGAAACTCAAAGGGGAGAGTATATTTGCTTGGAAGAGCTGATTCAGTCAGAAAAAATTATGCACTCCTCTATTGGAAAGTGACTGTCCAAAAAAACTTTAAACATTTCCGCATTAAAAACGGTTCAGTTTTCCCGGTTATAGGGATATTTTCTGCAATTGCAGAGCAGACAAGCTAGCCAGAAAGGGTACTTCAGGACCTCACTTGGAACACCTAAGTAATCGTTAACATCATGTTACTGAACTCTTAATGAGATACCCCCTAAAGATATCAGTCTTTTGATAGATTTACTTACAGGTTACTGTAAACTAGGGAACAATGCTAGAAAATTAGACCTCCCTTTCAATAAAGGGAGCTATGGAAAAGACGATGAGACTGTCTCTCATCTACTATGTTTTTGCACTGCTCATGTACGGCGGCGACTCAGCACTTTAGGAGCCCCCTACCTTGAAGATCTTCATCAATTACAAGATCTGACACTCAGTAGCATTTTAGGCTTCGCCAAGTGTTCTAGGTGGTTTTAAACCCTTAGCTTTCCAACATATTCGGTACACAATCGACCAATAGGCTTAAGTGGGTCCACTAGGGATCGCCGGTATAACCTAACCTATGCGGTTCAGTTAGCATCAGACTTCCGAATAACATCAAATGTCACGTAGGTATATATAAGAATTTTGCAGTCAGGTACTCTTAGAGGAGATTCCTCTATTACCGCTAAACTCTCTCTAAGATGCCTTTTTTGATTGCCTAATTGCATATTTCAATTTATTTTGCTTCCCCTTATACGGAGTATAATCCCACATGGATTAAAGTCTATTAAAAAGCTTTTACTCAGAGCACCTATGGTTAGTAGGAGCAGCCAGCCACAAGCTGAATTCCAATGTGGACAAATGTTTTTTACTAGACACCTTACAGTATTAGATTATTGAAGCATAGTTGACAATTGCTCTTCAATTTCACTTAAAAAAAAAGTTGGTGGTTTAAAATTCAAAATTGACGGTTTGTGTCACATTTTGTCATTTTCAATAAAGTAATATTCCTATTAATAGTATTATTCCTACATATGTCAATGCAAAGATCTCACGATTTCGTCTGATATTGTTTTTTCACTATCTAAAATATAACCATTTTATTTGGTAACGTATTCTTCAAGCGAAATATGATACTAATCTAAAGAACTACTACTAAAGAAACGCCATTATTGTAATAAGTTTTCACAACCTTAAAATGTACAGTGGTTAAACGTTGTTAAACGATTCATTTTGTATAATGGCAAACCTTAAACTAAACATATGGGAAGACTATTTTGTATTCTAAAATTCCAAACTATCTCATACTTTTTATTGCTGAAGAATGTGCCCAATGAACTTACTACTGGGCTGGCAGAAATAATGTGCTATAGTATGCAACTTAACATAAACAACCAGATACTGTCACAAAACAGTATTGATATAAAAACTTTTATGAAAAGAGAGCGCCAATATAAACAGAAACATAAAATATATTTTACATGCTGTTATTGTAAATGCTATCAGTCAAGCTAGGTTTATTGGTACTCGTATGTGCTTATCAGAGCTAAAAACGAAATATCATTTAAAAGCGGTTCTTCGAAAGAGAACTATTGCAATCATCTCTCAACATAATCGCACTAAACCGTCGTATGTTTGACAATCATTTATTTTCAGAAACAAAATAACGAGATAATATAATAAAGAAAGTATCCAGTAGACAAACTTACTAGTAAGGGCGAGTTTTTTTTCGATGACAAATAGAAATATTTACGACGGCATTTTCACAAACTGGGAAAATCGTCATATTGTGGAAAATGAAAGTTCAAATCGTTTAGAAAACTCACTTTTAGGGCATGGATGCCATAATGAAGTCATTTCTTCTGTTTGCTTGGACAGCAGCGATGATAACGAAGAAACGAATAATCCACCAAATTTTGAAAAGACTAAAAAGCATTTCCATATATTATCAAAACAGCGTACATCTACTAATCAAAATGCAATAAATAGTGATGGGACCTATAGTAATCTGCGTCTTGCATCTCAACAGACATCTCTTAACTTATCGCTACCTGATAATGCAGTATGTTTTTCATATTTTAAAAATATCTTATTTAACTACTATTTTATATATAAGTATTATTTATATATAAATAGAAGTATTACAATAAAAATAAAGTTTGGTAAATCACGTTTAACAGATGGACGACTCTGAGCTTACTGAGCCCACTGCTTTAATATTAAACTATAGCAAGCATAAGGTATGTATAATAACGAGCCATTTGCAGTCACTTCTTATTAAAGATATTTTGCAGTTTCTGCGTCCTTATTTAATAATTTTGTATATAGTTGGGCTTAGTCCAATATCAACAGATTTAAGCCAATGCCGGCGGGTTCTAAGCCACTTACAAACATTATTGATCTTTCTTTTATTAGTATTTGGACATTTTTTACAATATCTGTGTTCGTTTCGGTAAGAATGTTATATTTAAATGATCTATAACCAAACATTAATATATGAAATTTAAATAGAAGTGATCAAGGGTATAATATATATAAATTAACCAGCTCATCAAATAAAACTAATACGTACACAACTGGTGAAATTTGCTTTGGATACATAATCCCGAATGCAGTATATGTAATAGGATTTTTATTGGCAGTCTTCGTTTGTAAATTAGGCGACAATGAACATTTACAAAACTTAATAGAACGGGTTTTTCTTATGTCCAAGAAACCCATACGCTTATGTCGTAGATTGTGGGCGTATATTATATCTGGATTACTTCTACAAAGCCTTTTTATTGGATATGTAATCTATTCAGTTCTTAAACAAGCTCAGCTCAACCCAATTTCACAAATAAAATTGCTTCCAGAGCTCCAGAACAATATGCAACTTTTTGGAGAAGTATAAAATAGAATATTGAATAAAATAAAGTTTTTAATAAATTCAAATATTTAGATCGGCGTACTTTTAATACTATTTCTGCAGCACCTCGTCGAAACAATTATTTTGACCAATTACATTTTACAATGTCAATTACTAAGCGTATACCTAGAAACAATTTCGCACAATCTTTTAATGCGTTCTATTGATCCGTTAGATTGGATGCGGGCAAGAACAATTTTTCATTATTTAATCGAATATGTAATATGTTTGAAATAATTTTATTTGCAGGAATTGATGGAAATTAAAAAATTGCTCGAATACCTCAATCGACGAATTGCTTTACCAGTTTCTATCTTTATTGTATTTAATCTATCCAACTGCCTTGCTGCATTTATACATCTATTTAGGAACATTGATAGTCATTTCGCTGATTTAAGGATTCCATTGTTTAACATGACAAACGCTTTATTATGGTTAATATTGGGATTGGTACCTTTTCTTTCGGCTGCATCGCTGACTCATGTTTGCCGCAGAACAAAAAATAGTGGACATGAGATACGTATTAGACGGTTTTGCTACCAAAATTCATCAATTGATGAACTTAATTCCTTACTTATCTTCACGTCATCACTACGTTTATCAGCCGAAGTATTTTGGATACCAATATCACCAAATTATCTGTGCTTCGTTGTTATGTTTATTTTTATTATATTACTTACACTAGGAATCTGTTCGAATTTCTCGACATTCAAAAATTTATAAATTCTTTCAATTATTTCAATTATTTCATTAAATTTTAATATATTTTATAGTTTCATAAAAAAATTCTACTTATACATGTATAACAATTTTGTAAAGTTAATATATTGCTTGATTAAATTCTTTGGAAACAATTCTATTAACAATTCTATTAATTATATTATATAAAGTATCAAATGTTTCCTATATAATGCACACCGGTATTGTTTTACATTTTGACTTCGATTTAAATGATACACATTTTTTTTTATCACAAATAAGCTCTACTTTACCAACCTAACCAAGGTGGATGATTGATTTTGGCAGGTGGAGTAAAAGTCAAATTTACAGGCAAGTTAATAACAGCATGTTTTCGTTTTAGTTTACGCAATGTTGAACGAATAACTAAACCGTTCTTCCCAAGCAGAAATCCGGATGGGATTTGACAATCTCTATTCGTATTATCACTTATCATTTCAATATAATAATCGAACTCTGTCGATTCATTATTATACTCTGTTATAATTACAGCTTTAGCTCCAGCAAGCTCAGCATTTATACTTTTTGTAAGAAATGAACAGTCACTGAAAAATTTATCAATTTTTATCAATATTTAACTTATATGTATATGAGTATGTTTACCCTCTATCAATTAACGCCACATTGCCTCGAAGATCACGTTGATTTTTAATTTGTTGACAAGCGTCAGGCGGATCAGTTGGAATTAAAGCGGCTCGTAAAAATCGTAGTCGTGTAAATGAAGAACCAAATTTAGCAGGACGCAATCTGTATGTATAATGAAGATCTATAGGATCTATAATCTCAAAAAAAATGTCTCCAGCCACTATATCTTGCGTTGTTATTATATCCTGAATTGGAGGATATACAAAACAATTAATAAAGTCCACAAGATTTAAACAAATTAAAACGATTGCAGGAATGAAAATGCCGTCTACACCACCATATTTGTTTTTCATTGTATATTGTTTTCTTTAGGATTGTCATATGTATGTAAGCACGCAGCGAGTGGATTCTAAATAATTTAGCTTTATTTGGGGTTATTCAGCAAATATTTATGCAACTCTGAAATATTTCAATTTGCACATGTCCATGCGCTGAAGTTCGCAGTGTAATAATTATAGAGTAGTTATGATATACATATATTAATCTATGATATAAGCAATACTTTAAATATATGTTAAAGTTTTAATTTACAAAAATTTTTTAACGTTTTCACGAAATTTCTACGATATTTAAATAATATTTTAATTACTATACCGCAAAATTGTATTGACTCAGAATTTAAGGAAAGAGGATAAAAAATTAACTAAAATTTATTATGTTGTGTAATGTAATATCTATATCGGATGATCATTTAATTTCTTTAGAATTTTAGTACAGAATAGAATATGTGTTATGTGATTAACGTCAAGCTATAATTTCTGCAATGAAATCACAATAGGTACTTACTTATTAGGGGTATTCACTCTCTCTTGCAAACTCATTGCAAGGTGCACGAAATGCACAGATTGTACGAGAATGCAAATAACAACAAAATACACGCACAAAATTTCGTGCAATTGCGTGCAATCTTCCAATGCTGAAACCTATGTATATTTGCTTGCAACAAACCAGAAATGGCGGAAATCAGCTGTTTTGTCATTTGTTGCTTCTCATTTTTAAATTTGAATTGACTGTTAGTAAAATTTCGAGATATGTTAATCTATGGCTATGATATATACATGCGTTTCGTTCAATAATTTAAATCGATGTGACCATTAATTAAGTTTTCACAAATATAATATTATATACATATACATTTGTGAATTAATTTATTTATTTATCAATTTCAGCGAAACTTACGAAAATTTGTTCACATTTTGAACTATTGAATGAAGTGTTTGGACGCATGTCTAATTTTGTACGGAAACATTGCCATAGCCACCAACTAGTTCTGCGCTAGGCAACGAAGTTTTTTTTATTGAATCGTCTGCAGACAACACATCATCCAACTCTGCACCGAAAGTCGTGCGTTCTGCTGTGCAAAGCCCCACTACCCCCCTCGATAAAAAATATAACAAATAACAATAATAAATTAAGAATTAGTTATATTTTTATTATACTAATTATTTTTATATTATATTATTATTACATATATCTCCAACAACAAATAATGTAGCGACTTTACGAATAGCCGCATTTTCGCCTGATGAACCCAAACGATATAAAACAATAGCAATCCTTAATAGTTTATTAGTGAGACTATTAAGGAAAATACGTTCCAATTTACTCTAAGCATCTGATAAAAACGGCCTTCATCAAATTCTTGAAGAATGGTAGATCTCCATTGAATAGATTTTGGTACGGGTTGGTGATTTCTGTGATGGTTTACTAAAGTAAACAAAAGGTCTTCATTTAATTGCTCCATCACTTCCCAGTAATTTGCATCATCTAACAAATAGAAACTATATAGTAGTGAAAACTACATTAACAACATGTTAATACCTTCAATCAGAATATTAAAAGCACTATTTTCAATTAAAAAATCTATACATTTTTGTATTTCACTTGTTCGCGGCATTGTTATACTTTTATTTTTCTTTGCTCAATGTGAATCGACTGCAAAAACAGCTGATTCATTTTGATGATACAATTCTGCAACAGAGGTGTTCTCGCAGTCTTGCAGTTTTTACATAGCATTCTTGCATTTCGTGCTCCCTGCAATGAGTTTACAAGAGAGAGTGAATACCCCTATTATATTTAATACTGCAAAATTACACTTAACGTATTTCAGGATATAATATAAAATTAAAGACATTTATTCTGGCATGATTTTGTTTGTACGTAAATTAAATTGTTTTGTTTACTACATAAATTTGAAAGGAAGGTTTTTTTATATATAAAAACCTTGATTTGTTTCATAATAATTAAATAAGTATAATAAATAATTAAATAAATAAGTATTGTTTTTAGTAAAGAAAAATTTATTTTCTTTAAAATCATAATTTTAAATGAAACACATTATGTTTTTTTTTAATTAATCATATACACAGTCCAATAACAACATAAACTCTTACTATTACCATTTTGTTATATATATTTTTCTACAGTTCTTTTTCTAAAATTCATAATTCGTTTTCTTGTTATTATCACAATATCTATATAGGTATATTATTGTGATAAGATATAAATAACACCATAAACTATATGGAATGCATACGTTGGGAAAAAGAAACAATTAAAAAAGAATATTAACTATTTATTGTTTTAATTTTTATTGTTTTTCATATATATAAATATTTTAACAGACGGAATAAAAATATTTTATTCATTGTTTTGTGTGATGTATTTTGTAATAATACGTCCACGAGTATTATTACAAAAATACAACAGTGCAATTGAATTGCACCACTGAAAATTGACGCCGCTGAAGCATATTTCTTTTTTGCAACGTTGTTTAAGACGGCCATTTCGATTTGTAGTGCGTGGTGGACAAGTGTGGTCCATTCAAAGTTTTTTTTATTTGGCTGTGGAAAAGACTTATTATTTAGTTTGGTAAGGAAAGAGCAAAACAATGTCTGCTCCAACGTGCTACAAATGCAATCGTCCAGGACATTTTGCCAGGGATTGTAATTCGGGTGGTATGCGTGATGGCGGTGGTGGAGGTGGTAACAGGCGGGGGAATCGTGAGTCGAAATGCTACAAGTGTAACCAATATGGACACTTTGCTCGGGTCTGTACTGAGGAAGCTGAAAGATGCTATCGTTGTAATGGTGTAGGTCACATTTCCAAGGATTGCACACAATCTGATAATCCAACTTGCTATAAGTGTAATAAGAGTGGACATTGGGCTCGTAATTGTCCTGCAAGTTCAAATGATCGCGGCTCTAACGTTTCTTGCTATAAATGTAATCGCACTGGACATATTTCTAAAAATTGCCCAGATACAGCCAAGACGTGTTATTTGTGCGGAAAAAGCGGTCATCTTAGACGTGAATGCGAAGAAAAAGGCGGCCGTAATTAATTATTTACTCCTAAGCATTAAATAAAACTCCATCACTACTACAACTTAGAATCATCAAAGTACCAAACATGAGAGAGAGGAGAAAAATTACTTTACTTAAAAGCTACATCATCTTGCATTCTAAAATTTGAAAGTTTGAGCAGAAACGACATCCTATCGATAAAATTGTAAAATTAAATAGAAAATTCAACTAATTTTTTTAAGTAAACTCATGAGAAATGTAACATTCATCTTTATTCATAAGCCCTTGATGTGTGCTTATGTGCAGAATATAGCAGATTTATTTGAAAACAATGACTTTTGAAATAAATTCAAATATCACTGTGATGTTTTTCTAATACAAATTAAAATACTGGAGCTGATGATTTAAAAAATCCGCATTTTTATTTCATATGTTAGTCATTAATACGTTACCATACCTATTTTGCAATGTGTATGTATGTGTACGATACAATTACTATTGCATTCTAACCTGATCTGTACGTACGTAGTAAAACGTACGTACTGAACAATCTGAATGAATCCAAACAAATAACAAATATGTTTGAAGATTTTATTTTATTAATTTTTCGAATTTCTCTAATAGTTGATAACAAAAAAAGAAATTTAAATTGGTAATCTTACAATTAATCTCAATTAAACTTCACATTAAATAATTACTTAACTATTTTACAATGTATCATTTGAGTAGTATAATTTAGCACCATTTCTTAATAAAAATCAATTAATATAAATTAAGAGGTTGTTCATAGGTGTTCATTTTTACATGCTGAGGTTGTCCTTGGAAATTTTAGCGATTATATGACATAAAGCAGGAACTGAGAATGGTGCATTTGTTGAGGAGGCATTTATTTATCGGACTTATTGCGTATTTTGGTTGTGCCTGAAATACTTTTTTCAGTTTTTTTGCTGCGAGGAAGAGTGCAGCTTGATATTTTTTCCTGAAATTATTTAAAAATATAAATACCAATATTAAAAATATAGTTCTAATATATTTCATTCAAAACAATTCAAATTTATAAACATTATAACACGTTAAAATGATTGTTCGCTTGTTAGTAGAATTTAATAAATGCATTTGGCAAAAGAAATGAGGATTTATTGTTTATTGTTATCTAAATTGCATGATATTAACATGTACTCTTGAAGCAAAATACATCGCGCCAATATTTTATTCTTACTTCAAACTCAAAATTAGATTTCTGTCTCGTAACCTTTGTTGCGTCCTGAGCCTGTTGAAAATACACTTTGTGATGAAACAGAATCACTGTCACTATTGTACTTTCTTTCGTTTGGTGGACGTGGTGCCTTGGCTTTATTATATAAATGCGGTCGGGGTCGGTTTTTAATTTCACGTTTGTTCTGATTATCAGATTCTCTGTCGCTATCATTGTCTTTATTAAAATCAATTAGATTGATGTTATCATTTACATCGTCCGATAAGGAATCTAAAAACAAATCATCTGGATCTCCATATTCAGTTGTGTGATTATAAATGAATTGTCTATTTAAATTTTCCGAAGCATAATTTTTATTCTTTTCGTTCCCAAATGCTTCAGATGGTATTATATTGGTATTTTGAAAATAATTTAATCCCGTGTCATATGGTAGTGGTAGGTTATAAAATAGTTCTTCATGTGAATCCAAATTTTGTATCTGAGAAATATGGTCTTAAGTTCAGTTCATTTCAATTACACAATTTGTAATATTAAAATATTGAAAATCTATATCAAATGCCCAGCTTAATTTTATTGCTACGCTAAAAAAATATTAGTTTTAATGAAAGAGTACGAAAACCAATAAACCCATCATGGAGTTTAAAATATCTACATTAAGACGAATGACATCATCAGGGACCTCAAGATTGATCCGATCAAAAAATACATAAAGGATAGAGCCCTGAAATTATTTACGAAAACTGACAGGCTTACCAACACCGCGTTATCGAATCTCAGAATGGTTACAAGCTCCTCGGAGAGGTATGCAGATCTGAGGTCAATTATTGCTTAGTCTGATGAATTGTTAAACAATACTCTAGTCAAAGCATAAAGAGGGGTTATGAGGAAACCTCATAACATAATTATATTAATATATATATTGTCTTCAATATAGACTACGTTAACTTTTAGTGAAAGTAAATTACTCAAACTAGTTCAAGAATTATTACAGAAAAGAAAACATACTGAAATATTTTGATAAGGTAAAATTTTGTCGTTTAACAGAACTTCAGTTCTATAATAACATATAGTTATTGTTTTATTCCTAGTGGTAACACATGCAAGGTTGACGCAGGTCATATATTATATTGTCAAGGGAATAATAAGAATACAAAACATGAGTTAGGATATTGGAAACAAGCTTAGATCTCGGTTAAAAAAATCTATCCACATCACTGAAATAGAACTCAAGAACTACTCTTCTTAACGAGTTTCAAGTGTGAGGGCAATCAAGCAAAATCTTAACCAGATGATAAAGAAGTATGTGGACAAAACAAGAAAAGTCAGAACAAGGAAAAGTTGACTGCTCACAAATGTGTGCTTTTCCATAAGAAGAAGCTTACATTTCCAATATATGTGATATCAAATCGACATAAAGTAGCAATCTGTAGCTATATCGAAGGTGTTCAAGTTAGCACGATATAGCTGTGGAGTTAACAAATGCTTTCACCAGCACTTCCTTGTCTATCATATCAGGCAATGTTGCTGTGTCTTCATTTTGCTGTACACCAATTAAAATAATATATATATAATATACAGATACACTAAAATTTTTAAATTGAATAAATAAAACGTCAAGAAAAAAAGAACTTGAATACGATCAGGGCATCTGATTTGTATCTAAATATATTGAAAAATAAAATCTAAAAATATTAAACCATAATTGACTGTTAATACCTTTATATATTTCTTGAAGTTTAGATACTTTGTTTTTGATAAATTAAATTAAATAACTTTACCTCTGGACGTTTTGTTCTTAATCGTGTTTTTGAAGCATTTGTCATTGATGAAGCTCGACTCAGTCCACTTGATATAGGCTCAGCACTGGAATAACCGGAGCTAATATCCTCTGAAGAACGAATGTTATAACTTTAAAAAGGCCAAAATAAATTAATAAACTACTGATGCTGATACATTTTTTTCTAATATACTTAAAATTCTCGTTAGTTTTTGTGACATCAACTTCAGTAAAATACATTCCAGTTGAATGTCTACTGCCAGATGCAGAACGGCTGAGAGATGCCTGCATTCTATTGCGAAGCACACGATGCTGTGGTCTCATGGAAGAAATCTCATCAACCTATTTATGTGCTATTTAAATTTTTTTTTAATGTAATACTTTCACATTACCTCATCCTGAGTGCGTTGCAAATCCGGTTCTGATAGATCGCTAAGACTATAACTGCGTCTTATCGTTTGTACTAAATTTCCACCACCCTTAAGTACAAGTTCAAATCATTAATTCGATTCATTTTAAATATAGTTTACGGCATATTTTCTGGTTATTCTTTTCATTATATATTTTAAGCGTTTATTTTTCAAAATTTGTTACAACAAATAAAAAATATTAATGCTACATAATGCTACATTTGTTTAATACTTGCAATGATTTTTTTGTACAAAATGTATCATGTTTTTGGGACTGTGAAAGTCCCACGTAAAAAAATGTTTGGTTGCTGTGATTTATGATAATTTAATTGCAAATTATTGTTAATTCGTAAAATCATATAAAAATATTTTAAAAGCTTTTTAGCGTAAACAAAATGAATTACAAAATTAAATTTTAAATATTAATAAAAAGTAGAAAAATACAAAAATAAATTATAAAAGCAAAATATTCGAGCATATAATAGTATAGTATGCTGAGATCATCGAAATATTTTACTCCACATCCACAAAATTGTCAGGAGTAGCTTCACGCAATTTCCGTCTAGTTCGTACGGCTTTTACTGTATCTCTTTCATTTGTTGATTTTGTGGAGGAACTCGCTTTTCGACCCCTTCTAACTGGACGTTCTCGACTTCGTGCTGCACCATTATCAATTCTTTCATCAGCTTCTTCACAAAACTCAGTTTTCATAATTATTGAATCATGATCATCAACCATTACTGCTCTTTGGTCATAAAGATTGTTATTAGAATTAGCAGGTAATAGTATATTCTGTGTTTCTTGTTCATTGTTGCTGCTTCCGAATGCATACTTAGTATCGATTAGTAGTGCATGTAGTTTAAATATTGTTATAATATGCAAAGTTAAAGAACAAAAAATTAAAATTGAATGAAAGAAAATAAAATTAAAATAAAAATAAAAAAAATTTATTAATAAAATAAATAAAAACAAATATATATGTGTATATCATGAATATTAACAATTATTTAATGATAAGTTAGTTAAGGAAATAAAGATTGTTGTCCCTAAGCATTGTAAATGTATTTAGTATTTGGGATTGAAAATTTTATTTAATTTAATATTGTTAGATTTTCAGAAAAAAGTATTGGGTTAAATATTACAAACTTTGACACACCAAAGAAGGTTTTTTTTTTAAATAGTTAAATATTCATAAACAGGCTTTCAATTATGTTTTATTGGTTAGTTAAATTTAAGTTAAATGCGTTAATATAACCTTTGCAATAACATATTAAGTTATTTATTAAAAATTTACCTTTAATGCGCTTTGCATTATAACATTTTTTGCATAAGTGACTCCAGTATAACCCAACTGAAGGACTGCTGAATAACCTCTCTCCTTAGCTTGATTAAGATATTCGTCTATTTCCTACATTACAAAAACATTATTGAGTATTAATTCATTTAAAAGTGTGATTTAATTAACGAAGTGTAATTACCTGCTCTCTGCGAGTTAGCATTGGATGTACAAATTTACGGTAAAGAGTGGAGCTACCTTTTGTTGCTGGCGAAAGTAACCATAGCACTATCACAATCTTTATTTCGTAGTAGAAAGGAAACCAAGATAAAAATATGTCAGTCACTGTTTCGATGCACGTGAAAAATGCGTAAACAATCCAATACATCATCCATTTCACCTAATAGAATGGTAAATTAAGAATTAAAATCTGTATCATCTTGTAATAATGTAATAATAATTTTGTACTTACATATTCTTTAACGTTTTTAGTTCGTACAGCTTTGTAGGAAGCGTATGCCGGATATAAAGTTCCAAACGTTAGCCTGTAAAATGCGATCAATACGTTCAGAAACTTATACATTATTATGAAATTACATATACAAGCAATTGTAAAAAATTGGTGTGTACGATTTCCTAATATAAACATAACATGTTCTATACTTGGCTAGTCGTATTCGACTATTTATATAAGATCAGTTTTTTATTTTTTTGACCATTAGTTACTTGACCCAATTGCAACGGAACCATAATAGTGCATATGCCGAAATGAAACTTATTCTATTGAATCAAAAATACTGCAAGATCTGTTTATTTGCATTGTTGTACACACTTCAAGAATTAAGCGCTAGTACAAAAATAGCATTAGGAACTCTTCAAATATTTGAGATTCGTCTATGCAATTCTACCAGAATCTAAAAATACTTATATTCGTTGCTACATTTTTTAATTTCTGTTTTGTGTGTAAAAAACTCTTTACAAAAAATTAATTAAAATTCCCAAATAGACACTTTTCATATAATATATGTATGTGCATACGTCCATATATCATAGTTTGTCAAGAATTGGATTTTTGTTTGCATTGTTTGCATTGTTAAGCTACTATAAATACTTAAATGAAAATGGTATTGATATTTTATATGAAAAATAATTTTTCTTTTATTCATTGTGACTTACACTATTAATCGTGATACCAGAGCACTAATCATTGTTAATCCTTTGTACTATTTTCTTTGATGCGCAGGTAGAAGTTTTATTTTGTCTTTACTCCCGACAGATGTGCGGTGCAATAAACTCTGTAATGTTTTATAAATAATTTTAATTTTATTTTAAAATTTATACAATTAAATTTTTTTTTTTTTTTAATTTTTCTTTTCATTTCGGTAAACATTTCCCAATGACGTTTAAATCTTACATCTCAATCGAATTGTTTAATATAATTTGAACTGGCATGACACTTCGAATTTAATACAATTCTTATTATTGATTTGTTAAAGGAACTAAGCAATTTTTAAAACAAAATCGTTCAGAAAATGAAGCACCGAAGCTCCACGAACACAAAGACCCTCCACTTTAAAACACAAAGTTATAATAACAACCAAACAATAAGGTATCAAAATGACAACCGATGCAATGTATTCTTTGCTTACAACACAAGGAAAATACGTGATGGAATAAAGCAATTCCATTAAAGGAAAGAAACGTCAAAACGTCAGAGTTGTTATAATTTATATATCGTATGTTTATTTAAAATTCATAGCACAATTTGATATGGAAAGACCGTATGCAGTTACTTTGAAGCTGCAGCTACCATATGATCGTCAGAAGTCGGAATATAGTAGAAAAAATGTTATAAAAGGAATGTGCAACTGCGAATATCGAAGTTATAAACTTGAACAGAATTTATAAACATTATTTGGCAAGAGGCGGATTGACATAATAAATAAATTTGCCGTAATAATAAATTTGCATAAAAATGAGTAAATATGTATGAAACAAACTACAGGTGCTGCATTATTTAAATGACTCCGGAACTTTGATACCATGTTTTATCGTAACATACTTAAAAAACTGAATTAAATCTCTTTTCAAGAAGAAAACAGATACCTCATATTAGCAGGAGTATTAGCAATATATATGTATATCGCTAATACATAAGGGAGTTGAAATTCCTATTAAAAAGAATATTAAATATTTTAAACTTATATTAGACAAGAAACTCACCTGGTAACTTAATATTGAGAACAGAGTAAGAAGTGGTAATGTTAATACCTGCAAAAAAGCGGTGGTATCAGAGAAAGCTAGTTCCACTTTCAGTATTTTAAGTATAAGGCACTGTACCCTCTTCGTTCACTGTTCAAGCACTGTTTAGTTTACTTATATTGAATGGGAAGGGAAAAAATAATTGCATCATCACACTAAGATCAAAAAGAATGACACTATAATAGGATCGACAACCGAGGCAGTGGCCAATGACACAAAAATCAGTCTCCATACTTTGAGAAAAACTTTGTCTGATTTCCTGATAAACACTATATATCAGGCAGAGGCAGCGGTATTATCCACCAAAGAAGTAGCTGTCTACTTAACCAGACACGTTATAATCAAAACTACTGCTTGACGGATATAGGTAGCCAGCTATCAAATCAAACGAACTAGGAAATATTAAGTTCGTTTGCTCAAGATTGCCTGGTAACTTCAAGCGATATAAATACTGCCTCTAGGATACGTTTAATATGAGGTAATATTAAGATTGTTTGTTCAGGATTTCCCGGTAATTTCAAGCGATATCAACACTCCCTCTAGGATATACTTAATATGAGTTTCGGGCCAAAACGATATTGCAGCTAATTTTAAGGCCGATGCATTATCCAGACAAGCTACAAATCTTTACCCTGTTCTTACACAGGAGCAATTTCGGATATAACTGTCGTCAATTGTAAGTTTAATTAAACATTCGGAAGATAAAGGTTCTTCTATAGCTGCTCAGTTCCTACCATAAGTAAAGGGAACTTCTTAGGTAATTATAGCTTTATATTATAAAAACCGTCCTACACTTTATCAAAGCCTCAAAATGGCTCAATGAAGTCCCGTGTCATGAAGTAGTCTCGCAATGAACCCGTAGTGTTTAAGTGAGTTGGTAAATTTTACTAGCTGTCACCTTCATCTAACCTATTGGTTTAAAACAGCCATATATCGTCCAACCTAAATACATATGTAGAATCCTATGTTGTATTTATCAATGCCGACTGGAAGCTGCTTGTCATAAAATTATATTTAATAATTATAGTATGAACATTTCCATTTTACTTATAAGCTATTGAAAATTAAAAATCATTTTATTGGTAACTTTTCTATATTTGTAGAAATATTGTATTGTAATCCGCAAGTTTATAAAAATTTTTATACTGTATTAAACAACAAATATAATAATATGCTTGGATTACAAATATTTGACCTCAATAAAAGTTACTCTGAAATGAAAACTAATCTAATTCAAATTTATTTTAAGGTTCTGATTCTTTAATCTAAAAAATGTATAGCAATCACATACTATCTTGTTGCTGAATTGTAAGATTATTGTAAGGTTATATGAATTGTAAGATTGTACTTGGTAACGTTTATGGAGTATTTCTTATGTTTATGTCCTGAAACGTCACGAAGAAGTTTAAAATGCTTGGAACTCCACAATTTCAGAAGTTTTGAGAGCATCTTAAGAATCGAGCATCAAGTACTGTAGGTTCGCAAATAACGTCGACATCCCACTTGATACTTACTATGTTTCTATATTAAAGTTTCACTTCATCTGGTACAACTCGAAATTAATAGATTTATGTGCGGCTTATTGCCATCCTAATTAACCTACCTAACCTATATGCACTGCACACTAATCAAGTTGATGTTCATTAACGTAACCTTTTGAAGTTATTGGTGCTGTACATGTACTTGTTCTTTTTATACTCTCTTACACCCTTCTGGTGCAAGTAGACAAGAAAAATATTACTACGTATTCACTCTAAAACCTTGTTTTTGTCCTTTGTGCCTATCGTAACACTAAACAATTATTTCAGAATTTCTCGCATTAATAGTTATCTTCCATTATTTGCATATTTCACAAAAATTCCTACTTGCAGCTGGCTGAGAGCAAACAGAATGTTAATGCACACTTTAAGCGCGGTGCAGATCATCATTTTTGAATGTCATTCAAGTTGTGCTCTCTTTTGCTCAAATTTATTTGAAAGTTATCATTCAAGCAAAATTTTTGAAGAATAAGTTTGTTTACGCACGCTGTAAGTGTTTCGCACGCTGTTTGTATGTCATAGCGACCATACAGAAATATGCTCTTGAATGACACTCAAAAATGATAGTCTTCACCGCGCTTTAGACTACTTCCTAAGAAACGTTTAATTTGTGGTATTCTTATATGTCTTCTTCTTATTATATGTCTGTGACAATTATCTAATATAATATATCAAACTTTTTACATTATTCAAACAATATGGATTAAATATTTCACTACCTACATATGAACTTGTTAGTATCATATATATATATAT